ATCTAGTATGTAAGTGAACTTTATGTCTAGTGTGTATGTCTATTAAAAAAGAAAGAAAATTCACATACATACTATACACATAATATTATGTGTCTAGTATGTATGTGAACTTTATGTCTAGTGTGTATGTCTATAAAAAAGAAATAAAATTCACATACATACTAGACACATAATATTATGTGTCTAGTATGTATGTGAACTTTATGTCTAGTGTGTATGTCTATAAAAAAAGAAAGAAAATTCACATACATACTAGACACATAATATTTTGTGTCTAGTATGTATGTGAACTTTATGTCTAGTGTGTATGTCTATAAAAAAAGAAAGAAAATTCACATACATACTAGACACATAATATTATGTGTCTAGTATGTATGTGAACTTTATGTCTAGTGTGTATGTCTATAAAAAAAGAAAGAAAATTCACATACATACTAGACACATAATATTATGTGTCTAGTATGTATGTGAACTTTATGTCTAGTGTGTATGTCTATAGAAAAGAAAGAAAATTCACATACATACTTGACACATAATATTATGTGTCTAGTATGTATGTGAACTTTATGTCTAGTGTGTATGTCTATAAAAAAGAAAGAAAATTCACATACATACTAGACACATAATATTATGTGTCTAGTATGTATGTGAACTTTATGTCTAGTGTGTATGTCTATAAAAAAGAAAGAAAATTCACATACATACTAGACACATAATATTATGTGTCTAGTATGTATGTGAACTTTATGTCTAGTGTGTATGTCTATAAAAAAAAGAAAGAAAATTCACATACATACAAGACACATAATATTTTCGCATTTTTAACAATTTGCAACCGTTAAGTACTTCATAAATACTTTCTTCTTCGTCTTGTATTGAACGCCATATATTATGTCTTAGTGAAATTTCAATTAAAAGACTAAGGGCACTCACACTTTTGTTCAGTTGGACAAATGGGGAAACAACATTTTTATCTCAACGGCCTCAGTACAGACACCGTTTCTGAACACTGTGAATGTGAATTGCCAGAAAAATATTGTGGCTTAAACTTGATACAACCCTCTCAACCTATATCTCCCTTTTAGCAGCAATGGTAGAAGTCGATTGGATAAAAATTTTACTTTTTCTTATTATACTCAACAATTTAAAATATAAACATAATACGTACAATGTATTTTACTAAATACACTCGTAATTTTATTTTTTATTAGAAGACTTTCCAATAAATTGAAACATCGAAAAATTGTTAACTGGGTCGAGAGGCAACTAATATTTCGCTGATATTGCCACTTGCATGCAGTTTCTCGTGGAACAAACTTTGTCGATCCAATATTTCACAATTCACAATGTAGTGCAAGTTGCTTTATCAACTAATGAAAGTTATTACCTAAAAGCAGCTTAGTTTGCTAAATAATTATATTTGTTACGCATATTATTAATAATTTTATTAACAGCTTGACTTAGCAAATTGTTGGTTCACTTACAATTTGTTTACATTTAAATATGCAATCTAAACATTTGTCGAATCGAAATATAGGAAAAAGTAAAAATGAAGGCAATACAAAATTCAATTCATACACAAACGCGTTTCAGCGCGATTGATACGTTATATAAAAGAACCTTTGAACCTTTAAAACAGGATTCAGGATAAAAAATAGCCCATAAGTAGCATCGGGTCCCTAAATACCTACACCCAAAATTTCATGGCAAACTGTTCAGTAGTTTTTGCGTGAATCTTGAATACACAGACAGACAGTGAGACAGACAGACAAAAATTTTAAAAACCACTAATTTAGCTTCAATGCCCTTTATTTAGTCCCTTGGACTTGCTTTTTCCAGAAAATATTAGAATTACAGACACGACTTTTCTACAGATTTATTATAATATGTTATAAGTATAGATAAAATTCTAGACACCGATCTAAAAGGGGTAAGTTTATTAGTTGCTAACCTAATATTTAACTGACTTTTTTACTCCAAGACTGATTATTTACACTTTTCAATATCATGTTACAATTAATTTATTACTAAATTCATTAAGCTGAGTATTCTTGCTGAAGAAAATATTTACATTACTGCAAAAAATGAAGTTATTGGAGCACATAAAAATAACAGTATGGATCTTGCATTTTTATACCTTCGGCTTCGGAATGTTATAAGCAAAAAACGAACAATCGGCTTCTGGTTCGGTCAAAAATTAATCTTTGGTCTGATACTAGTAAAAATTACAAACACTATACCTATGCATGATAAGTGTATACATAATTATTGGGCCCCTAGACACATACATCTATTCTCGATTAAGAATCAAAATGTAAATTCCTTTTTAAATCCAAGAAGTAAGCTCGAAAACTCACCATACGAAAGATTATGCTAATAGTTTAAGCTTGTATTCTGTGGCTCATTTCGTCCAACCAACTCATTTATCTACTCGTACTGTCTGTATAAAAATATAATATATTCAAAATCAATATATTTACTACTTTTCAAAGTATTCCATTACATCTAAAACTCGTTTTCATACTATGAATGTAAATGTTAAACCTCTCATCAAATAATGATTTCTTATATTTATGCGAACACTACACATTGATTAAAACTACTTTTACGGATTTTATCGTTTTTATTTTACTATTATTTTTAATTCCCGACGTTTCTGGCGCTTTCCAGCACCCATGGTGACGGGGGGCTGAGATGACTGACGGACCGATGTCATTGTTAAAGCCGGAGTACCTTCAGCTTTTTTAACAATAATTAACACCATAAACAATAATTAAAAAAGCTGAAGGTACTCCGGGTTTAACAATGACATCGGGATGTCAGTCATCTCAGTTCCCTGTGACCATGGGTGCTGGAAAGCGCCCGAAACTTCGAGAAATAAAAATAATAGTAAAATAAACGCGATAAAATCCGAAAAAGTACTCTCATCAAATTTTTGATTATTGGAAAAATAAAGAAATCGCATAGCGCAAGGTCCGGACTAAGCGCAGGATAGGTCCTCCACGGAGGTAGGTAGGCTAGGGATAGGTAATCTCCACCTTCTCTGTACCTAAAAATTACTTAGCCTTGTTCGCGGTATGATCAGAAGGATTGTTATGGTGCAATAGGATGCAACTACTTGGTCGTTTTTCCCCAACATTTTCAGAGACACTGCGTAAATACATGGTGGTGAATCACTCAACATTAATTGTGTTTGGCTCACAAATTTGGATCGTGCAGAAAGAACCCATCTGGGAGATATGATTTTTTTGCCTACGCTACTTACCTGCCTTAGTTTTGTTGATTTAAAATCGCCTTCGAACACGCACACAGAAGACTGTTGCGGTCTTTCCGGAAATTAACAATATATCCATTCTATCTTCTGTCTCACTGTTATTTATACACGGCATTTAAACATCCGTGATCATAATTTTACACCAATCAACTTGAGCCAATTTGATTCCCCCAAAGGCATTTTATAAACGAGCAGTGCAATATTGCAAAAAAAAATCATCGCCTTAAATTTTTTTCACTTGTGATAAAAACAAATGACAAAAATTCCCGCTAAAAATTTAATCAGGGAGTTTTCTTATATTTACGCGAACACTACACGTTGATTAGAACTACTTCTACGGATTTTATCGCGTTTAATTTATATGTTTTTTAATTCCCGGCGTTTCGGGTGCATGCATTACATCCGATTTGATAGACCACAAATCCTCGCGAAAGAACATCGATTCCTACCAATGATGATACGTGATGCTATTTAAATTAAAAAACATCCTAATTGCAATAGAGAAGAAGGCTAGGTACTACCAACTGCTTGGAACCTTGTAATTAATAAAATTAAACCTGTAATTAAAATTCAATTAAAAAAACAGTAAGTTCATTCTACGTAGATCGGACCATAAATAATAATTAAAAAGCTGAAGGTACTCCAGGTTAACACTGACATCGGAATGTCAGTCACCTCAGTCCCCCGTGATCATGGGTGCTGGAAAGCACCCGAAACGTCGGGAATTAAAAATTATATAAATTAAACACGATAAAATCCGTAAAAGTAGTTCAAATCAATATTGTTACGAGCTTGAGGTTCGTGACAATAAAAATTGCCGATAGAATTACCTGAATTAACACTTTAATTTTCTTTACACAAATTAAAACTTAAAACACTAATAATTAAGCACACTAATTCACTTTATTTCGCTCCGAAGCTTCGCTTGTCTCGTCAAATTCAATACTTCCCGATCGCATCTTGCAGCGCCTATTTATATAAATTAGCAGCGAAATATCCAGAATACTCAAGTAAACACGCGCAAGGTACCGAGAGTTCGTGTTTCAACTTCAAGAAGTTTAGTTCTTCGGTTCGAGACTAGATGCCGCTAGTGCCGTCGACTTGAGCGCGTAACACTGCCCCCTCCTAAGACATGCTCGTCCCGAGCATTATCGTATCGTCATATATATAACGCGCCAGGCGATCCACATGGACGATCTTAGGAGTCCCTCTTGCGCCTTTCTGTATCCGGTAGGTTACATCGTTGATCCTGGTCACAATCCGGTACGGGCCATCCCATTTAGCTTGAAGCTTAGGAGATTTCCCTTTGCTGCGGACGGGATTATGCAACCACACTAGTGAACCTTCGTCGAACCCTTTATTGTTCATTTTGCGGTCGTACCGGGTTTTCATCTTTTCAGACATTTGCTGGCCCGATTGTCTGACGTGCTCATAAACGTCATTCATTTTGTTCCGCAAGTCATTTGCATAATCGGTTATACTACGTGGAGCATCAGGTGGTATCCTGGTGATCAGGTCTGCAGGCAGCCGTAATTCTCTTCCAAAGTTTGCGAAAGCTGGTGTCACTGCTGTACTTTCGTGAACAGCGCTTCGATATGACAACAAAAACGGTTGTATGTGCTTGTCCCAATCTCGTTGCCGATTGTCTACAACTTTTGCTAGGTACCTCTCCAATGTCTGATTAAATCGTTCTACCATTCCATCAGATTGCGGGTGATAAGAAGTCTTAAGTTTTATGAGTACACATAACTCGGCAAGTTTTCTGGAATATTTGAGATTCAAAATTCCTTCCTTGATCACTGTAAATCTCTAAAGGTACTCCAAAACGACAGAAGACTTCATGAACTAGTTTATCTGCAACTGTTGAAGCATCTTGATTTGGAATGGCGAAGACTTCTGGCCACTTAGTGAAGTAATCCATCACAACCATGAAATACTTGTTACCGCTTTCACTCTCCGGAAACGGCCCCGCCACGTCAATGGCTATTCTCTCCCATGGTGCACCAACATTGTACAACTTCAATGCACCTCTACTACGAGTCTGAGGTCCCTTTACAGCTGCACAACTTGTACATTTGCGACACCAGTCCTCGACATCGTTTCGACAGTGGACCCAGTAAAACCGTTCTCGGATCTTCAGTAGAGTTCGTTTAACTCCCAGATGGCCTCCTGAATAATCATTTTGGTACAGCTGTAGAACATCCGGTACTTTAGCTTTAGGGACAACCATTTGTAAATGACAGCTGTCTCCCCGAACATTTTCCCATTTACGGCACAGAACTCCATCCTGAAGCAGCAAGCTGTCCCATTGGGCCCAATAGCTTTTAGTGGTCGAACTCATCGCTGAGATGTCGCTCCACTTGCGCTTGAGAGCACTGGCCTTCATCCATTCCAGGATCGGCTTGATGTCCGGATCTTTCTGCTGTGCACGTTGTAAGCTGTCCTTCCACTCGTTGCTGAGGTGGTCTGCCATGAGCATCCTCACGGATACCACTTCCTTACTCTCCTGCCTAGTACAATGTTTGCAATCTTCAGGACAAGGTCTTCGTGACAATGCATCTGCGTTGCCATGAGATTTCTCGCTGCGATGTTCGATCCCAAAGTCGTATTCTTGCAGTAGTTCAATCCACCTCGCAACTTGTCCTTCTGGATTTTTAAACTGCAATAGCCATTTTAGTGCAGCATGGTCAGTTCTTAAGCGAAATTTTCGTCCCACAAGATATTTGCTAAAATGCTGCAACGACTTTACCACAGCTAGCAATTCGCGTCTTGTGACACAATAGTTCCTTTCCAGTTTTGACAACGACTTGCTGAAGTACGCTATCACGACCTCTTGGTCACCATTCCGTTGAGACAACACACCGCCAAATCCTATATCACTTGCGTCTGTGTCAACTATAAATTCTTTGCTTGCATCAGGGTATCCCAAAATAGGTGTTTTGCACAAACGGTCCTTGAGCTCCTGGAATGCGATATTGCAACTTTCATCCCAGCAGAAATGTCGCTTCTCCTCGGTTAGCTTATGCAGAGGTTTGGCTATATCTGCAAAGTTCTTCACAAGTCGCCGGTAATAGGAGCACAAACCCAAAAATGCTCTAACCTGCGTCTTGTCTTTTGGAAACGGCCAATCCTTTACAGCTGCGATCTTCTCTGAATCCGTGCGGATACCTTCTTCCGACACTACATACCCCAAAAAGTTGACTTGCCGTTTGAATAGTGAACATTTCTTCGGATTCAACTTGAGGTTGGCACTCTGAATCTTCATAAGCACGCGTTCTAGGTTTCTGTCAAGTAGACCAGACAGGCATCGCCAATTAGCCCGGTAAGTACAAGTTCCATCAGCCTTTCAAACGTTGCTGGAGCATTGCACAACCCAAACGGCATTACTTTAAATTGCCACAGACCCTTTTCCGTCGAGAACGCAGTTTTCTCCTTGTCCTTAGGGTCAATTTCAACTTGCCAGTAGCCACTTTTTAGATCCAGCGTGCTAAACCACTTTACTCCTGTAAGCATGTCCAGCGTGTCGTCAATTCTTGGCAATGGATAGCTGTCCTTCTTAGTAACGTCATTCAGACGGCGATAATCAACACAAAACCGCATGCTGCCATACTTCTTCTTTACCAGTACCACGGGTGAACACCATGGACTAGATGAAGGTTCAATAACACCATCCTTCACCATTCACTCAATCATGGTTTCCACTTCCTTTTCACGTGCTACCGGCAATCTTCTTGGCCGCTGACGGATAGGCAATTCTTCACCTGTGTTTATTTTGTGTTGAACTAAGCCAGTCTTTCCTATGTCAGCATCTTTTGATGAGAATACATCGGCATACTTGAGTAACAACTTCTTCGCTTTGACCATTTCATTCGGGGAGAGAACGCTGCGACAGTCTTCTAAAAGTGTGCTCACTCTCGTTTGTGCATCCTTGCTGGGGGTCCCAGTCGATAGATATTGGCACCGACGTAACCAATCCACTTCCTCACAAGTAGCAACCAGTGTGCCTTTTTCTATAATCTGTTCCTGGCCACAAAGGTTCAGCACACGTACTTCTGAGATGTTAGTGGTTCTGACCAAGGTTCGAGACACTTTTCATGGAAGGTCATTTTCTAACCTTTCGACGAGTACACAACGACGAGGTTGCCCAGGATTCCGAGGAAGACTAACCGGCCAATCGTTTCCGATCTTGGCGGAAGAACAATCTTCTCAAGGCTGTACACGTTCCCTGGTAACGCTCCTTCCACAAAAAGTTCCTCTTGTCCACATTTCAAGACACCTTGCTTAACGTCAATCGCACAACAATTCTTCCTCATGAAGTCTAGGCCCAGGATGCAGTCGTCCATTATATCAGCCACGATGACATTATGCAGGTAGATCATGTTGCCTAGCTTCAACTCCATCTCTTTCTCTCCACGGACGGGTATACGCTAACCGGTGGCTGTTACCAAATTAATGCGTTCTCGGTTGTATGCGGAGTCCCCAAGGAACTGACTTATTAGTTGGGAACTAACAACCTTACGAGAAGCTCCAGTGTCTATGGTCAGTTTACACGGCATTCCGTTGACCTCGCCCTTGATGATTAGACTGTTCTAATCGTGGGTTTGTGAGATCGAGATCCTTGGGGCTCTTTTAACATCAGCCAGCACCCGCCCCGCAGTTCTGGCTTTTACTCGTTTCCCTGCTGCTGCTGGACGGTGCTGTTGGCCGCACTACCCTCCTGAGATCGTTCACCTTCCCTTTCTAGGGTTCGATAAGGGCAGCTGGATCGAAGGTGGCCCTTTTCCCCACAGCCATAGCACCTAGGGCTGTATCCTTTGTTGCGGTCGCGAACTGTAGCTGCTGCAACCTCCCTGACGCGATGGAAACGATGATCCTGCCGCACGGCTTCCACCTCCAGTGCATGGGCCAAGGCGTCCTTAAGCGTCTCGTGATGCCCGAGCCTCACAGCAGCTCTGACTTCCAGGTCGCGGATGCCATCGATGAATGTCTGCACCAGGTTCCCTTCAATGAGCGCAGGTACAGACCGGTATGCTTTTCGCACCAGCTTCTCCACCTCTAGAGCCCACTGCTGCAGGTTTTCGTTGATGCGCTGCACGCGATCTTTAAGCTGCGCACGAAAGACGTGTTCCAGGTGAGCGTCGCCATATCTCGCCTCCAATGCCTCAAGGAGTTGCTCATAAGTCACTTCCTCACCGAGAGCTTCCAGAACTGTTAAGGCCTGGTCACGCAGGCCTAGTGTGAGAGCAGTCATGGCCTGATTTTTATTCCAGCCGTTCCTTTGAATTGTCGACGATATAGTCTTTATGGTAGAATAGCTAGAGGACCTAAGTTACTACACTATGCTCAATAACCTCAATAATGTCTCCCAATAGATGGGTCTTAAAATGAGGATTGAGACACCTATGCCGGTAGTTGTCGGGAGCACTAAGCTCGAAGTTGTTGACGAATACGTTTACCTGGGACAAAAAGTCCGACTAGGTAGCTAAGTCCAACTTCGAACGAGAGGTCAATCGACGGATTTTACTCGGCTGGGCAACGTGCGGGAAATTACGACACATGTTCTCGTCAAGTATACCTCAAAACCTCAAAACGAGATTGCACCACCAGTGCGTGCTACCAGTGATGACTTATGGATCTGAGACGTGGTGATGACTTACGGTATGAGGTCGCTCAAGGTCCCTCAGAGAGCTATAGAGAGGGCTATGCTCGGAGTTTCTCTTCGTGACAAACTTAGAAATGAGGACATCCGCAGCAGAACCAGAGTGACCGATATAGCCCAACGGATTAGTAAGCCGAAGTGGCAATGGGCTGGCAATATTGCTCGAAGAACCGACAACCGAGGGGGAGAAAAGGTTCTCGAGTGGCAGCAGGTAGATGTAGTGTAGGGCGACCCCCACTAGATGAAGTGACGACCTGGTAAGACATGAGGGAAGTCGATGGATACAGGTGGCTCAGGACCGTGCATTGTTGCATCCCTTGGGGGTGGCCTATGTTCAGCAGTGGAGTTGTGAAGGGCTGTAATGATGATGAATGATGTTTATTAGATTAAACTTTGAATGCCAAAATTGTTTAAATCTATTATATAAAAAAACGCCTCTTAAATAAAAATTTAAGAATAATATAGATAAAGACTTTTGCAATAATTGCAGGCAGACTAGTTGAGATTGCTTTATTAATAGATTATTTACTAAACTAAAAATCATCTCAATTTTTATATTTTTGATAGATGTCACTATTATCTATTTTAATTATAAATTAAAACATTTAAAGTAAAAGTTTTGAATAAAAATTATAAATCTACTCATTCTTAAATAAAAATGTTAGTTGTTTGTATGACGTATAATATAATTTATTAGTAATTGAAGAAATAATATATTATTTTTTGCATTTTAGGATAGTTGTCACAGTTTTTAAAAATAACAGCGTAGATCGTAAGCGTAGATGAAAATTATTACATAACGGTACTTTAAACTTTATTTATAAATATGGTTAACTTTCTACTTAACTCGCTTATTGCCGTTATTGCCGTAGGTTCAAACTTAACTCGCCAGGTTCGCAAGTTACTACTACACTACTGTACTTTTCGAAGTGTAAATCGGTCTTTATAGGCGAAATGTAGTTTTAGATATAGTTCCTATTCAGAAATGACATTAGAGATTCTCAGAGAGCCAGCAACATTAACATTAACATTGGCTAAAGCAAAATTAGCTTTAATTTTTATCACAATTCGTTTTGATGGTTTAGTGCTAAAAATAAAATGAACCTTGTAATAACTTAATATAAAATAATTATTGTTTTTTTTATGTGCAAACAGCTACGCAGGTCTAGAGAAAGAGACCAGTATCACTGCGACCTAAAAGATCTATTGTGATCGCTGCTATGGTTATAGTTCAGTGCAAAACCCTATATCTTCATTGAATAGGAGTTTCTTAGCTGTGAGCAATTTCACTTCTTCTGGGCCGAGTATATAGTTTCCCAAATGAGTGTATCGTTTGCGTATTAAGGGTCCGCAGTCAGTTGAGATGTGCAAAGTCGTTTCTTCCGTTTAAGAACAGAACCAGCACATCCTTGAGTTGCTCAGTCCCAGAATGGACATATGCTTTTTAAGACAACGGTATCCAGTTAGGACTCTTGCCAGAATGCGCTATTTATTTTTACTTAAATCCCAGGGCTTCTGAAGCGAATTTACGATTAAAAGCCCGGATTAAGGTTTTAAAATGTTTTAAGCCTGGTATTGCAGACCAGATTATAAGTGATATATTGTGATAAGGAGTTTCAAGGGTCAATTGTGCTAGGCTTTTTGAGACTCCAAAAAATGGCTCGGGTCCAAATCGTGTTCATTTTGAGTACCTCCCGTACGATCTTGTCGACAAATTCATTGCCGATGGATTAGGATTTTTTTATAGAAGACGGGGCAAACGAGCATGCGGCTCACCTGATGTTAAGTGACTACCGCCGCCCATGATCAACCGCAACACCAGGGGAATTGCAGGTGCGTTGCCGGCCCTTTAGAAAGGAGTAAGCTCTTTTCTTGAAGGTCCCCAGGTCGTATCGGTCCGGAAAAATCGCCGGTGGTAAACTATTCCACAGAGAGGTTGTACGCGGAAGAAAACTCCTTTTGAAACGTGCTGTGGTGGACCGCCAAGCATCCAGATGGTGTGGATAGTATCGGGACGTTTGCCGCGTAGTGCGTTCACGAAATTTGGCGGCTGGGATTAATCCGAACAATTCCTCAGAGCACTCTCCATGGTATATGCGAAATAAAATGCAAAGAGATGCAACATTTCTTCGCAGTGCCAGTGAATCGAGCCGGTCGGAAAGCACTCGGTCGTCGACGATTCGAGCCGCTCTGCGCTGGATGCGGTCAAGTGGAAGGAGCTGGTACTGGGGAGCCCCAGCCCAGAGATGGGAACAGTATTCCATGTGCGGCCGAACCTGCGCCTTGTAAAGTCGCAGACGGTGTGCTGGCATGAAATACTGTCCCGCTCTGCTGAGCACGCCAAGCTTTTTAGAGGCCAATTTGGCCTTCTCTTCCAAGTGACCACGAAACTGCACGTCACTCGATATGTCAACGCCGAGGATTCCATAATCTACTATCAGATACTGGCTGAGGCAACAAGGGGAGTGCCTTGAAACTGAGGAAATACGACAAAGGGGTTCTTTTTAGCGGTTAACGCGCAAACTTGTGTCTTCTGGGGGTTAAAGTGGACTAGATTTAGTCGCCCCCCAATCCGAGACTCTGTTCAGCAAAGACTCGACTTCAGACACAAGTTTGTCCCGGCACTCGGAGACGTTTTCCCGAGAAATATTGGCTCGGCCGGTGTAAAGAGCATCACCAGTGCTGTCATCTGCATAGCAATGTATGTTACGGGTTTGCAATATATCATTGATATGCAGAAGAAACAGCGTTGGCGATAGCACGCAACCTTGTGGAGCACCAGCATTAATAGGCTTGCAATCGGAGCTTGCACCGTCTACAACGACCTTGATGCTCCGATCAGCAAGAAAGCTGATGATCCAATCGCACAATTTCTCGGGAAGCCCATAGGAAGGGAGCTTCGAAAGAAGCGCTTTGTGCCGAACCCGATCGAAGGCCTTCGCAATGTCCAAACTAACGACCAATGCCTCCCCCTTTGGACTCTACTGCCTCCGCCCATCTGTGAGTTAGGTAGACCAGAAGATCACCAGCTGACCGACCACGGCGAAAACCGTATTGGCGGTCACTAATCAGCTGGTGATCCTCAAGGTACCTCATGAGCTGACAGATGGCGATAGGCCGGTAGTTGGACGGGTCTTAGCGGTCGCCTTTTTTTTAGGGATCGGGTGGACGAAAGCCGTCTTCCATGATTTTGGGACTACGCCTGGGGAGTAGGAGTACCGGAAAAGACGCGTTAAAACCGGTGCCAACTCTGGAGCGCACGTCCTCAGCACAATTGGGGGGATTCAGTCAGACCCACTCGACTTGTGGATGTCCAGGGAGAGGAGTGCTTTGCGAACCGAGCGCTGTGTGAACTGCACTTCCGGCATAGAGCACTCACACCGCGGGATGGTCGGCGGCGTACTCCCCCCGTCATCGAGTTTCGAGTTGGACACAAAGAAAGAGCATAGAATATCGGCTTTCTCCTTTGCGGTATGGGCCAGTGAATCGTCCTCCCTGTGCAGAGATGGAAGAGATGGCTGACAGAATTTCCCCTGGACAGCCTTGGCGAGAGACCAGAATGCACGGGTTCCAGAAGGAAGGCGAACTAGTTTCTCGCCAATTCTACCTATGTGCTCTGACTTTGCCTTGGCAATGACTCTTTTGAAGGGCCTAGAGGCGGAATTATACTTCCTTTTTATTGCGCTGGTGTTTACATCCCGGGACGCTGATGCGCCAGCCCAGGCTCGGTAGCACTCCTGC